TGGACACAACTGAGCACAGATTACAATAAAGAGCCAATCACAGCATCCCTTTACCACGTGATCAGCTGTGTCCAATGACATAGTTGATCGTATAATAATAATAATAATCACAATTTAAACACAGTTGACGGTTATCAGCTGCACTTTCCTGTGCACATCATGATAGCCGTCAAGTGTGAAAGAGGACATCAGTGCAACCCCAAGAGGACATTAGTGCAGTCCCAACAGTGTCCATCATTGCTGACTGTCAGTGTCCATCAGTGCCGCCAGTCAGTGTCCTTTAGTGCCGCCAGTCAGTGCCGCCTATCAGTGACCTTCAGTGATGCCTATCAGTGCCCATCAATGCCAGTTATCAGTGCCCATCAGTGCTGCATATGAGTGCAGTCTCATCAGTGCCTCCTCGTCAGTGCTGCCTATCAGTGCAGCCTCATCAAAGCCCATCAATGCCAGTTATCAGTGCCCGTCAGTGCTGCCTATCAGTGTAGCCTCATCAGTGCCGCCACATCAAAGCCCATCAGTGCCCATCAGTGCTGCATATCAGTGATCATCAGGGCAGCCTCATCAGCGCACATCAGTGAAGGAGAAAATTTACCTGTTTGCAAAATTTTAACTAAGGAATACATTAAAAAAAAAAAATTGTTGGTCTTTTTCCATTTGTTTACCAAAAAATAAAAAACCCAGTGCTGATTAAATACCACCAAAAAAAAAAATTTCATTTGGGTACAGTGTTGCAAGACTCCACAATTGTCATTTAAACTGCGACAGCGCTGAAAGGTGAAAATGGACAATGAATGCTTGGGCAAGAAGGGGGTGAAAGTGCCCAGTAGGCAAGTGGTTAATTTTTAAACAAATTTAGATACTTTTTTAAGTTAACAGTTTTAAAAGCTGATGTTTTATAAATTGTAATGTATTGGTGTAAAATCTTTATGTTAAGGGTATGTACCGGTATACCCAATGTATGTATGTTTTTACATTATACAACTTATCTTACTATTAAATGTAAAAGTCCCATATAATGTAAAAGTCCACACTGTGAATTGAATTCACAATAAAAGTGTTTCACAAAGAAGTCCTGGATTGTGTTCCCACACTGGACAGAATCACCACCACCAAACAGCCACAAATGCAGGCTTGCCAAAGGTATCTAACTTTCTTATTATACAGAAGTGATAAACAGCATACAATGTAAAGGTCAAGCTACCCCCTCCACTAGTCTTAATTGCTGGCCAAAGATGTTAAAGCCCATATGAATCCTTCTTTTACACAAATGCTCAAAAAAATGATAGAGCTAGAGCTCCACATAGTGTGAAATCCAATAAAAAATATTTATTAAATCTTGAAATCCACTTACAGGGATAAGAAACTATTAAGCAATGATCAAACAATCCCAGCTGGCACATAGACAAACTTGTGAGTCACATCCGGTAACATGATGATGTCAGCATGTAGATACTTCCAACGCATTTCAGCAGATGTGGCGTCTTCCGGAGCATTTTTTTGAGTGTGGGATTTACAAACATAAGTGTTGGTTTTTGGTTAATAATGACGACTCTAATATGTTGGATTTCCTCTTACTTCCTGCTCTGAAGATAATTTCTGCAATGACACATTTGGGGGAATTCAATAAAGCTGCTGCTCCACTTTTCTGCCTTATGCAAAATAAATAAATACATAAATAAATACATCAGTGACCTTTAATGTCGCCTATCAGTGCCCATCGGTGCCGCATTTCAGTGCAGCCTCATCAGTGCCTCCTCATCAGTGCCCATCAGGGCAGCCTATAAGTGCCCATTAGTGCTGCCTATCAGTGCAGACTCATCAGCACCGCCTCATCAGTACCCACCAGTGCAGCCTATCAGTGCCCAACAATGCTGCCTCATCAGCGCACATCAGTGAAGGAGAAAAATAACCTGTTTGCAAAATTTTATATCCAAAACTAAGAAATTTTTTTTTTTTTTAATTTTTGGTCTTTTTTTGTTTGTTTAGGAAAAAATAGAAAACCCCAGTGGTGATTAAATACCATCAATGAAAACACTATATGTCTCAAAAAAGAGGTTAAAAATGTCATATGGGTACAATGATGCATGACCGCGCAATAGTTATTGAAGCTGAAAATTGGCCTGAGCAGGAAGGTGGTGAAAGTGCCTGGTAGGCAAGTGACTTAAGACAGGGTTGTGGAGAGGGGTCCAAGTTTTGTGGTGTAAAAGAAGAAGTGCTGTTGCCAGGTTGCAGGATATAGAAGTTTTGAGTACTGTACAGAGAAAAGAGAACACATATTTTCAAAAAGATATTATTTTAGGTCAGGATCACCAGATGTGTAGTAGTGAGCCGGTGTTGCCTCAGTTTCTCCAACAATCTGAGGATGTAGATGAGTTAAATTTGGACAATCCTACTGGGGTCTGTTACCAGCGATGTAGTATTTTCAGGGACGTCTCGCAATGGGTAATCAATGGGGAATGCATTTTGAAGATGCAAGAAGCTACTGCATTTTTTTATTCCATTGTGATAGCTGAAAGTCTTGGGAAAGTTCTGCTTCCCATAGTTTCATAGAAGGAGTTTTATCCAAGGAGAGGCTGTTAGTAAGCGTGCAGTAGAAAAAGGAGATCCCTTTAGAATGAGTCAGGATTTTTTCGTAGAACATCAGAATTGAAAAGCAAGCTTATTTATTTGGTAAAAAAGTCTAGCATTATCTTCATGCTTGTTAAAAATCATGATGTTCCCTCTTGCCAGGGATAGGGATGAACAGAGTCATTTAGGTGATGTTTGTTTTTTGGGCAAAAAATATCAAGCCAAAATGTTTTGATAGTTTTTCAGTAGAACCTCCGTGAGCATTTCATTGCTGTCTGTGTCCCTGTATTTTCTCTATATTCCTGTCTGCTGAAAGCATTGTTACTCTGCAAGTAGGTGATGGGAAATCTCTCTAATTGAGTCCTTAACAGTCGTGAAAACCTGACAGAGATTCTAATCCTACCTCAATTTCTCCAAAACTAACAAAAAAAAAGTTTTGTCTGGAAATGCACTTTAATTTGTTTACTGAGCTGCTCAGGAATTTTGCTAAGAAATAAGTCTACTCTTTCTTTCTTTTTTTATTAATTGCTCTTTTTTGTGAAGGGGTAGAAGGTATATTTAGTTGTTCTTCTCTTTTTTAATTTAGTTTTTTCCCGGAGGACATATTTTTGAAGCAGTGAATGTGACTTTCACCAAACATTCACTGTTGGTGAATCAGTCATCATAATTAAAGCACCTGCAGTGAATTTTTGGTGAATGTAAGACTGACTGCTTTATAAATACCCTTATTTTTTCCTTTTTGTGTATTTGACCATTTTTTGTGTACTGTTGCTTAACTTTTTTTTATTTTAGTTTTCTTTTCTTTTCTATTTTTTTTTTTTTACTGCTAAAGCAAATGTAAAATAACGAGGCTAGATATATGCAAAAAACTAGTCTGCATTAGTTAAAAAGGAGATTTTTATAATTTATCAATTAAGTCTGCCTTTATTTTTTTACTTTTGTTTACATTTTTTGTTGATGATAGATTTATGTTTAGCATATGCATGTTGAATGACTTGCTACCTAAAGCTTACACTAAGGTTGATAAAAGCATTCTTAAGCAGTATATTTCATACCAAATAATATATTTTTAAATGCATTTATTATTGGACATAAGATTAATAAAGAAAATATAAAACACACTATGCATTTCTAATTTTTTAAATTTCATTCCACTTCGATGTGAGTAAAAGGTTAAGAAAATTTCTATTTAATAATCTAATGTTTATTTAAAATTAGTTTTTCTGTAAGATTTTGGTCATTTATGAAGATTCTTCTACTGCTTCTCCTCAGTTGCAGACAAGTGACACAAATTACTCAGAAGGACACAGATCCCAAATGTTCACACCAAGAATGCTAGTGCATAATGCCAGGTTTTTGATTGAAAGTTTGGCTAGCTGATTATATTGTAGCTAATATTATGCTACAGGTAATTCATATTTTTGGAGTGTGAGAATGGTCCTGAGTGAGCTGATCTTCAAGGGAGGTATAGCACTGCATGAAGGAAAGGAAGGATGCATGCCATGGTGATTGCTTGGTGGTATGATGCATGACACTGGAATTATGTTTTATTCCCCCTTCAATCAGAGAATGCAGGAAGGACTCCCCTGAATTGATAGTTGAAAAGGCAGATAACTAGGTAGGCTAAAAGATGGGAAAAGGAAGAGATTGAGGTGAAGCCAGAGATATGGTTTAGGGAGTGATGGAGGCAATAGTTAAGGTCTTTAAAAGGAATTAGCAGCCAGGACAAAAAACTCAGCCACCCACATTCCAAAATCGTGTTGGCATGTTTTTGAAAATGTGTGCAGATAGCAGGATAGCAATTTCAAACATCTCTACTTCTGACCTTCTATTTTCGTTGCTCCAACACTTCAATCTATCCAAATAGGTACACAGATGTAGAAGAAAAAGTGGATGGGATCCTAGTTCTTCTATATCCTATATAAAACTAAAGAAGTATTTTGGCTGGAGTTGGGCTAAAATTCAGGGTTTTACTTTGCCTTCTTCTGGATCAGCAGTATTAGAACAGAACTGGAGCCATTGATGGTTGAATTGGGGCTTTGATTATTTTTCAGATGTACATATCTATGGTTTACAAACCAAAAAAAAAGAAGTTCTTAACCTTTTACTAAGACTGCATTCACACCTGAGCATTTTGAAGCTCGAAGATGCACAACAAGCAAAATCCCATTCATTTCAACGGCCCTTGTTCACTCTCAGATATGCATAGAGACCATTACAATCAATGAGATTTTACTTGTGGAGCATCTTCAAGCTTAAAGCTTCAACCTTTGAGCTTCAAAACGCTCAAGTGTGAATGGAGCCTTAATGATTACAGACTCCCAATAGATCAGGGGTGTCAAACTCCATTTCATCATGGGCCGTATCAGCATTATGGTTGCCCTCAAAAGGGTGGTTGTATCTGTAAGACTAGACAACCAGAGCATCTCACCCCCCCCCCCCCCATTACATCAGATGTCAAGAATCCCACACCCTCCCTAACATCACCGTGCACCCCCTTTGGGAACAGAGCTGGAAAGCAGAAAGTGCAGGGTCTCAAGGACCAGAGGAGGAATGGAGTCATTTACCAGAGTCTGCTGAATGCTGAGCCCAGGGGAGGCAGAGATGAGGGGGTGCTGCAGCTGCACTGAGAGGTGCAGGATCGCAAAATTGCATTAAGGATTAATGGCACTACAAGCATGTCGCACATTTTGCAGAGGACTTCTATTCTCCTCTCTGCTGCCGACTGCTGAAAAAAGGTGGGGGTGGAGACAAGGGGGTACCTGCAGGAGAGGTGCAAGGGCCACATGAAATGGCCTGGAGGGCCGGATTCGGCCCACAGGCCTTGTGTTTGACACCTGTGCAATAGATTGCCAAATATGTTCATATTAGACCCTGTTCACACCTGAGCATATTGAAATTGCAAGCAGAATTGCACAATCCTGCCTGCGATTCCAAAATTGCATCAAAATGTACAACATGTTTGTAGTGCAATTAATCCTTAATGCGATTTTGCAACAAAGCACACAAAAACACGACAAAACATGTAACGCCAAACGCATCTGGCTCAGTGCCAAAATTTGATTCATGAGCTTCGTTGGTGCATTTTTTGAAGCAGAGGGAGGCTCATTCAAAATTCACCATAAAAAACGGGCAAAACACCATGACACTGTAGTGTCCACGGGTGTGAATGGGGCCTTAGGGATTAATACATCTGTCTGGGTTTGGTTCATGAACAGTTTTGCAAAGTTCACAGACTTTACTGTGAGCCCCATTAAAGTCTCTGGGGGTTCCCAATTCTGGTCATTTGCAGGGCTAATAAGCAAGCTCTTGTCAAACAAAAAGCACAGAAAGCCAGGCACTGCCATGGGGAATATGTGCCAATGACAAAATAAACTGTCCCTAACAGTTTTAACACATACTAACAATATCCTGCTGTGAGCTCACCCTTTTAAAGGCCTTGATCTGCATTATATATTGTTTTTTTTATTTCTGGTGGCAAACCTGTGAACTTTTCAACCAAAAATTTTTGATTCGCAAATTTATCAAATTACAGAGATTTGCCGCAAACCCAAAGTAGCTGCAGACCTCAGCTTCATCCCTGGTCCACATATCCCCTTCACAAGTGTCGAAAATCGTTATCACCATCACCAGTCTTATTAGGTGCCAGTATGACTTCAAAAAATTGTAAAAGCTTGGTTTTACTTTGCGTATGGATAGCTTGGAACATGACAGCTGAAACAAAATCAGAATGATTTCATCCTATTTGTTATTCACAAAAACACAAGCTAGCTACCACTAGTGAGAATTTTGTGTTTTGTTGCAATTAAAAGATGGAAATGAGGTTCAGTTACCAACAATGTGACTCACCTGTAATGTGTGTCACATCAACAAGTCAATTGGTCCATCATTGGTTCCCATACCCCCAAGGTTAAGATCCCCTTTGTTAGTCATGCTTTGCTATGAATAAAGTCAAAATCTGGATAGTAAAACTTGTATTCTGCCTGCTTATTATTCCTTATGAGCTTTCTCTCCTAGTAACCTTATAGCATGTGAAATGGCTCTGTGTCAGCTGAATTAACATTGACATGACAAGTAGTTAGGTCGGGAATTTTACCACAAACAGTCAACTGTTCGCCATACCATTGCCCCTGAGAGATAATTGCTTTCCGTTGTTTCTCTTTGTTGTCAATAAACAGATTTGAAATGCACCATTAATGTATAGCAGATGTGCAGTATTGTAGACAAAGGTACAATTTATCTGTGGGCTGAATTCATGCTAAAATCAGTTTGAGATAAATTAAATCCATAATTTTACAATTCGGGTTGCAGCGATTATTGTTAAGACAGACCATTAGTGAGGACATCAGTTATGGTTTCTGTATTTCAAACAATGCTTTACTTGTCTTACAAGAATATCAGACCATAGATCATTTACAACATCTTATAGTGGACCTGTCTCTATACACGTTGAAAAGGGGAATTCTCATCTAACCGTGAACGCATCCTACAGTATATAAATGAAGCAGCAGATAAATTATCAAAGGATATGTTAACCCAATCACTAAATTCTCAACTGGTTAAAATCAATAGATTTTTAAAAAAAATTCTGCCATAAAGGTCCTTGTTCAAGCACTCCCTGTTATAGTTTGACAAGATGCTGTTGCTGTCTATTGCATAGTCACTCTGTTACATGTGCTTTAGTTGGAGACTATAAGTGAAACCTTTCAACACACATAAGGGACTGTCACTATCAGAAAACTTACCCTTAAAAATGGTATGCAACCATCTCTGGAGTGCATGTTGACAGGAATAGGCATGGGGTTTGGGGTCGGCACCACCATGGGTTTAAGGTGAATCCTGTGGTTTTGAGATTTGCGGTCCTGGAAAATCTTGTTTGGTGTTTAGGGAATTACATTTATTTTGGGGGTATATTGGTTTTTATTGTATGTCAATAGGGTTCATATTTTAGGTTAAACTAAGATACAGAATAGATAGGCTGACTCCTAGTTCCAGTGCCACACCACGGCATTTGTGTTCCAGGCTGGTTGGACATTGGCTGGAGGATCTCCCCATCTGACTTTTTTGCTGCAAACATTTTATTTAAAAATGTAGGCACATAATGTTTGCACATTGTGTCACACTTACCCAGCAAAATGATCCTTTCTAGTGCTGCAATGTCCATGCTCCCCTCCATGGCTGGCACTTCTGTCCTTACCAGATCTTCTTCCAGGTTTGGAGTCTTCGGCCATCTTGAATGGCTGGGCCTGGATGAAGTAACTCCTGTGCATGCTCAGGGGCAGTACTTATTATTTTCACAGAATCGTGTTGAGACTGTCCATTGAGCTGCACTGACAGGCAATAAGAAGCATTTAGAAGTCTCCTATGTCATAAAAAATGTACCTGTCCTCATTTTTTTCATGAGTTTTCTTCCAATTTAATGAATACAACAAGTGTAAACAAGTGTTACACCTGATGAGGGTCCCCTAACATTGGGGGAGAAAATATGTATTGACTGAAATGGCTCAGTGCAAACCAGAGCTTAGTGAAGCATTTGTTTTGCTTCTCGCTAGATCACACTGCTATGTGAAAGCTCCTGTTACATGTTTGGAGCTAAGCTTTTTTTTTTTTTTGCAGATGCTGAAAACATGTTAACATTTTTGAAAATGCAGTGCAAGCGGATTCCATATCACTTTGTTTGTGACCTGCATTTGGGGTGTCGTTAACATTACACTGTTGATGGTCGGAAGGACAGGGCATTTTGAATATGGTGAGGGAAACTCGCATGGGACGTGTGAACAGGCCCTAAATGTTATAGTACAAAGGGACTTAAAGCGGAGTTCCACTCACACTATAAAATAATAAAAGGCAGCAGCTACAAAAACTGTAGCTGCTGACTTTTAAAAAAACAGCCACTCGCCTGTCCCATGATCCTGCGGTGTCCTCCCCGCATCCCAGTTCATCGGTCATCCTGTGTTCCAGGTGCCGGCATCTTCAGTGTGGGCACTTCACAGCTGGGTACTCACTGCACATGCACGAGTAGCGCTGCACTTCCTAAATGGCCCCATCGTCTTCTGGGACCTGTCACGTGTCCCAGAAAACTACGGGGAGTGAGGGTATGAGGACAACTTCTGCTTCCGATCGCTTAGGTCAGTGGTTCTCAACCTTCCTAATGCCGCGACCCTTTAATACAGTTCCTCCTGTTGTGGTGACCCCCAACCATAAAATTATTTACCCAGTAATTATAATTCATGAAGTGTCGTTTTACCTCCAATACTGCTGCTTCCAACACAGTAGCTGCTTGCAACACAGTAGCTGCTTTCAACACAGTAGCTGCTTTCTACACAGCAGCTGCTCTTTACACATCAGAAATATGTGTTTTCCGGTGGTCTTAGGCGACCCCTGTGAAAAGGTCGTTCAACCCCCAAAGGGGTCGCGACCCACAGGTTGAGAACCACTGGCTTAGGTGACCTAGGGTACCTGTCAATTTTGGGTACCCGCTTCCCCCCACTCCCCAAAGGTGCCAATCCTTAATGGGGAGTGGAGGACCAATCTTTAAAGCGGAACTTCCCCTTTTGGGTGGAACTCTGCTTTAACAACTCAGAAAGCCTTCTATCTAAATCAGTGCGTAGCACAGTAAAGCCTTCTTAGAACAGAAAGTATTCACATTTCTTGTTTCATCATATATCCCCAAAATAAAATAAATTTTATTAATTTTAGGACAGTGAGCAAAGTTAAGCAAATCATTCTTTAATGCCCCAAATGGCCAACGGTACATCCAGAAATATTGGAGTATAGCACAGATATAACCCAATATCATAGAACCATGTTCCAGAAATAGACTACTGGAAATAATGAGAGTTTTTCAATCAAATGTCACTTAAGCAACTCATTGAGGTCGATTTACTAAAACTGGAGCGCTCCGAAACTGGTGCAGCTGTTCATGGTAGCCAATCAGCTTCTAACTTCATCTTGTTCAATTAAGCTTTGGAAATAAAGTCTAGAAGCTGATTAGTTTCTATGCAGAGTTGAATTAGATTTTCAACTCCCCAGTTTTAGTAAATAACACCCCCAATGAGTTAATTTGAGGGTTTTGACCTAAAATTCCACCAACATTTCCAAAATTAATTTGCCTGCAGTCATTTGTACTGTAGAACAGGTACCCTGATACCCCAACCTGTAGACAGTAATCACATGAATTGACCCACCTGTAGCCCTCAACTAACATAAAAGCTAATTTCTCTTTTTATTTCTTTATGAGACATCCAGTGAAATTTAGAAGAAACTAATTAACTGCAAAGATATGTTCCTAAGATATGCATGGCCATCCGCCATAACATTCCTGAAATATCAAATAGCCTAATCTAATTGTTATTATTACATTTTTTTCAGAATACATAGGTCATAAATGTGCAGAGTAACCCGAAACACTTTCAGAGCTGCCAGCTGGCCCGATCTCTATCATTCCAACCTGCTGCCCCGCAGGTTCTCCTTTCTTTTGCACCGGGCTTGAAATAACGCTTGCCGATAATTGCATGGCAGGTAATAAAAGAACTCAAAGTCAGTGACGGAATGTTTGGCATTTTCATCTGAATTCTCAAATGATTTTATTAAAAGCATTCTGTCCTATGAAAAGGCAAAGGGATAATAATTATGGTTAACCTAACAAGGGTGTAGCTTTGAAATCCTATGTAGAAAAGGTACAGGTGTGCTCACTCATTATACTCCCCCTCATTTACTTTCTATAAAGATTTTCATCAGTTTAAAGCTGAACTTCATGCAGATAACTAACACATAAATTAACATAGCTCTGCATTCACGAATACACCATAAAACATATTTTTGTAAATGTAAGCAACT